AGGAAAAAACCTAGTCTCTGGCTACCAATGCATTAAACATATATCCAGTGGGGTAACTCAGGAAGCTCCAGCTGACAGAAATCTTAGGATTGAGCCCATATTAGGTAGAGCTTCCACCCCTCAACCTGAACATAACTAAAGGTTTTAGTTGGAATAGAGGCAAATATGAGTCACATTAATACTACATACATACTTGTCGCCAGGTGCTGGCTATACTTGTAGCACCCTCCTAGTTAGCTAAGCTAAGGGGAGCTAGTTATTTCTTTTTTTAGTTAGAGGCTGAATAGCAGCCAGGGAGTAATAGTCAGAGGGTCACATCTGGATCAGGGCTGAGAGGCTCTGCAGATCAGTTCACTGATACCTCCCCCTAATCTAGAGACTTGGAGGAGTCTCTAGAACTCAGTGGGCAGGGGTGAGGAGGGGGGGGTGGTCTGCACTCTTAAGGGATTCTGGCCAACACCAAGCAGGAGGCTTGGCATGGGGGGTCAGAACAGCCCTTAAGATTGACCGAGCCTGCTCAGCAGCAGGAGAGTTGGGGGGTGGAAGATGGAGTGAGCAGGCTGGAGTAAGGAACCTGGGAGGGGGTCTGGGAGAGGGGCCTACCTACAGGTGGAGCAGCTGGAAGGGAGGATCGATCATCCTCAGTCGTTCCCAGAGAAAGGACAACCTGAGAAGCAGGGAAAGAGCTAGTCCAGCGTAAAGCCTCAAGGCAGCCACCAACCCACAAACTTGCAAGGGTGGACTGAGTAATCCCAGAAACCCAGGGCCAGATAAGAGGAGAGGGCATTCTGGTGGGAAACCTGACTAGAGTGCTGATTCTAAAGTGGCTGGATAGCTCTCCAAAAATTGGATTTTTGTCAAATGGACTTGTACATAGTTAAGGAGTTTGTCCTCAGTTTACAGTTACCATGTTCATCCAATACACCCCTCCACCCCATCCAAGTTCAATACCCCTTAATAAAATCCAAAAAAAGAAGCTCAAGGACTGCTTACTATCTCCTGTGTGCAAGGTCTGAGGAAAATGCCTGTTGCCTAGCAGTGCAGGATCATAGGAAGTAAAAATCTTTAGCGACTCCTAAGGGGGTAGTGCTACAAATTATGCCAGTCAGGGCATTTATAGATGAGAGTATGGTTAATCCTTTTCCCCCTAAAGTGCTCAGTACTGGCACAGCTACATCACTTCCTGTTAGCAGAGTGGTTTTTCAAACAGCAGAGGATCCTCAGACCTGTAGTCCTATGGCCAATACATACCGTTTTTCTGAGTGAGAACTGAACTACAACTACCAGAGAGCTGGGGAACCAGAAGGTTGCAGGGAGAAGAGCAATATATTCTACTGCAAGGTTGGCTCTCTTGGTGCAGAATTCAAAGATGAACACAGGGGGACTTCTGTTCTCCTCCAGAGACAGATTGCTGGCTACTACTGTGGCACTCTGTACACCAGTTCACCGCAGTGGTGACGCTGATTGCCACACCGAGATCGCATCAGCTTGTCACTGTCCGGTCTTCCCATAGACATCTCTGCTTGCCGTGCTGACAGGCTGTCAAGCAGTAACTCTGTATTTATCTACGAACAGCCAAGAGTCTGTGCAAGAGCTCTGTTCCTAGGAGGCTGTGCTATCCATGGGATTGGTGAGTGGGCTGATGCCCAATGTCTTTCGGACAACAATCTAGAGACACTGCATGCAGACACCTTTACACCTCAGTACCAAAATATCTTTGCGCATTTACCACAGCCTGTTATCTTCAATGAAATACAATTACTCACTACTGTATGTGGGCCCTACCATTGCTAGCAGAAGACAACAGCTACTATCACATCAGGAACTTTAAACATCTCAGGACCCACGCTGCTATTTCTAGTTAAAGGGACCTCTTTGCATCTAAGCCATTGTTAAAATTAAGGTGTCTTTACCGATTTATGGCAGAGTATGTGTGTGAGTGTTTATATATATACATATATATATATATATATATATATATATATATACATACATACATACATATACACAAACACACACACACACACACACACACACACACACACACAGACAGTTCCTTGAAAGTATTCATACCCCTTGAAATTTTCCACATTGTGTCATGTTACAACCAAAAATGTACATGTATTTTACTGGGATTTTATGTGATAAACCAACACAAAGTGGCACATGATTGTAAAGTGGAAGGTAAATTAAAAATGGTTTTCAAAATTTTTTAAAAATAAATATCTGAAAAGTGTGGCATGCATTTGTATTCAGTCAATACTTTGTAGAACCACCTTTCACTGCAATTACAACTGCAAGTCTTTTTGGGTATGTCTCTACTAGCTTTGCACATCTAGAGAGTGAAATTTTTGCCCATTCTTCTTTGAAAACTAGCTCAAGCTCTGTTAGATTGGATGGAGAGCGTCTGTGAACAGCAATTTTCAAGTCTTGCAACAGATTCCCAATTGGATTTAGGTCTGGACTTTGACTGGGCAATTCTAGAACATGGATATGCTTTGATCTAAACCATTCCATTGTAGCTCTGGCTGTATGTTTAGGGTCATTGTCCTGCTGGAAGGTGAACCTCAGCCCCAGTTTCAAGTCTTTTGCAGACTCTAACAGGTTTTCTTCAAAGATTGCCCTGAATTTGGCTCCATCCACCTTCCCATCAACTCTGACCAGCTTCCCTGTCCCTGCTGAAGAAAAGCATCCCCACAACATGATGCTGCCACCATGTTTCACTGTGGGGATGGTGTGTTCAGGGTGATGTGCAGTGTTAGTTTTCCGCCACACATAGCGTTTTGCTTTTAGGCTAAAATGTTCAATTTTGGTCTCATCTGACCAGAGCACCTTCTTCCACGTTCGCTGTGTCCCCCGCATGGCTTCTCGCAAACTGCAAATGGGACTTCTTATGGCTTTCAACAATGGATTTCTTCTTGTCACTCTTCCATAAAGGCCAGATTTGTAGAGTGCATGACTAATAGTTTTCCTGTGGACAAATTTTCCCACCTGAGCTGTGGATCTCTGTAGCTCCTCCAGAGTTACCATGGGCCACGTGGCTGCTCCTCTGATTAATGCTCTCCTTGCCCGGCCTGTCAATTACCAAGACATGGCTGTCCATTATTCAGTGAATCCTTTAACAGTCACAAACCTAGTGGAAGGTTAAAGCTGCTGACGCCAATAGAAGAAGTGGCCAACATATGAGCTTGGGAGTTTAACCAGAGCAATTAGAATTACAACATCTGCAGGCATTAACCACTTGCCCTCCTGAGGATTTACCCCCCTTAATGACCAGGCCTCTTTTTGCTACTTGGCGCTGCACTATTTCAACTGATAATTGCGCGGTCATGCAATGCTGTACCCAAACAAAATTTATGTCCTTTTTTTCACACAAAATTGAGCTTTCTTTTGGTGGTATTTGATCACCTGTGCGCTTTTTATTTTTCACGCTATAAACAAAAAAAGACCGAACATTTTGAAAAAAAAACTATATTTTTTATTTTCGGCTATAAAAAATATATAGTAAACTCAAAGTTAGTTATAAATTTAGGCCAAAATGTATTCTGCTACATGTTTTTGGTAATAAAATTCTCAATAAGTGTATATTGATTGCTTTGTGTGAAAGTTATAGTGTCTATAAACTATGGTATAGATATTGCAATTTACGCCATTTTTTTCTATACAGCACTGCACTAGTTTAACTGACAATTGCGCTGTCATGCAATATGGTACATAAATGAAATTTATGTCCTTTTTTTTAACACAAATAGAGCTTTCTTTTGGTGGTATGTGATCACCTGTGCACATTTTATTTTTGGCGCTATAAACAAAAAGTTTTGAGAAACTTTTTTTTTAAAAAAAAACACGATATTTTCTAATTTCTGTCATAAAAAATATCCAAAAAAACTAAAATTTCATCATAAATTTAGATCAAAATGTATTCTGCTACATGTTTTTGGTTAAAAAAAAAAATCCTAAAAAGTGTATATTGATTGCTTTGTGTGAAAGTTATAGCGTCTACAAACTATGGTATAGATAATAGAATTGCACAGCTTTTACTTTCTGACTGCCCATCACAATCCTTGAGGTGCTAAAATACCAGGATAGTACAAACACCCCCAAATGACCCCTTTTCGGAAAGTAGACACCCTAAGCCATCTGCTGAGAGGCATATTGAGTCCATGGAAGATTTATTTTTTTCCACACGTTTCTGGAAAATGCCAAAAACCTTTTTTTTTCTTTTTTTTTTTTACACAAAGTTGTCATTTAAATTATATATTTCTCACACAAGCCATGGGTATATGTGGAATTACACCCCAAAGTACATTCTGCTACTTCTACGGAGTATGGAGATACCACGTGAGAGACTTTTTGGGAGCCTGGCCACATACAGGAGCCTGAAATCCAATGACCACTTGGAAAGCCTGAAGGTGTGTAACTTCCTTATTTCACTTCCTCACTACCTATCACAGTTTCGGAGGCCCTGAAATGCCAGGATAGCACCAACCCCCCCCCCCAAATTACCCCTTTTTGGAAAGTAGACACCCCAAGAAATTTAAAAAGAGGCATGATGAGTATTTTTCAGATCTCATTTTTTTCTCACAAGGTTTTGAAATATAAAAAAAGAAAAAATATGTTTTTGTTTTTTTTCTTCAAATTTCAAAAATTTGTGGCAACAAACGAGTTCTGCAAAATACTCACCATGCTTCTGATCAAATTCCTTGGGGTGTCTACTTTCCAAAAAGTGGTCATTTGGGGGGGGTTTGGTACTATCATGGAATTTCAGGGCCTCCGAAACTGCGATAGGTAGTCAGGAAGTGTAGTGAGGAAATAAAGCACTTTAAAAGCCTGAAGGTGCCTATTGGATTTTGGGGTCCTGTACTTGGCTAGACTGCCAAAACGTCTCTCACATGTGGTACCCCCATACTAGGGAGAAGTAGCAGAATGTATTTTGGGGAGTACCGTATTTTTCGCTCCACAAGACGCACTTTTTTCCCCCAAAAAAAAGGGGGGAAAATGTCAGTGCGTCTTATGGAGCGAATATGGAGCGGCCGATCCGGTATTTCCACCTCCGCAGTGTCAGAATATCGGGCCGGCCGCTCAGCTCTGCAGCGGGACCTTATGGAGATGACTGCTGACCTTTGGGGAGGTGGGGAGCGGGTACCTGAATTTGACAGGTACCCGCTCTTACTTCCGCGGGGTTGTTCATTGACCTTACCTGTTCCTCTATCCAGCGGCGCACTGTCTTCCCGGCTTCTGTAGTGTGGGCGCTGGGCTTGACAGCCGGGTGCCAAGTGCGCATGCGCAAGAAGCGGTGCATTTTGTGAATGGTAAGGTGGTACCTGGGACACATGACAGATCCCAGAAGCCGTCGGACCTATCACAAAGCGCAAGTGCTTCTCGCTCATGCGCACTGGGCACCCGGCTGTCATGCCGAGCGCCGACACTACAGAAGCCGTGAAGACAGCGCGCGGCTGGATAGAGGAACAGGTAAGATCAAAGAACAACTCCGCAGAAGTAAGAGCGGGTACCTGTCAAATTCAGGTACCCGCTCCCCCCCTCCCCAAAGGTCAGCAGTCATCTCCTGTGCTGTCCGCAGTCTCTGGTCATCTCCTGTGCTGTCCGCAGTCTCTGGTCATCCCCTGTGCTGTCCGCAGTCTCTGGTCATCCCCTGTGCTGTCCGCAGTCTCTGGTCATCCCCTGTGCTGTCCGCAGTCTCTGGTCATCCCCTGTGCTGTCCGCAGTCTCTGGTCATCCCCTGTGCTGTCCGCAGTCTCTGGTCATCCCCTGTACTGTGTCCGCAGTCTCTGGTCATCCCCTGTACTGTGTCCGCAGTCTCTGGTCATCCCCTGTACTGTGTCCGCAGTCTCTGGTCATCCCCTGTACTGTGTCCGCAGTCTCTGGTCATCCCCTGTACTGTGTCCGCAGTCTCTGGTCATCCCTGTGCTGTCCACAGTCTCTGGTCATCCCTGTGCTGTCTGCAGTCTCTGGTCATCCCTGTACTATGTCCGCAGTCTCTGGTCATCCCTGTGCTGTCCACAGTCTCTGGCCGTCCCTGTACTGTCCGCAGTCTCTGGTCATCCCTGTACTGTGTCCGCAGTCTCTGGTCATCCCTGTGCTGTCCACAGTCTCTGGTCATCTCCTGTACTATGTCTGCAGTCCATTAGTTCAAAATTTTTTTTTCCTGTTTTCTGCCTCTAAAACCTAGGTGCGTCTTATGGTCAGGTGCGTCTTATAGAGCGGAAAATACGGTAATTCCACATATACCCATGGCATGTGTGAGCAATAAATCATTTAAGTGATAATTTTGTGTAAAAAAAAAACCCAAAACATTTTTTGCCATTTTCCAAAAATTTGTGGTATAAAAATAAATCTTCCATGAACTCAATATGCCTCTCAGCAGATGGCTTAGGGTGTCTACTTTCCAAAAAGGGGTCATTTGGGGGTGTCCTTACTATTCTGGTATTTTAGCACCTCAAGGAATGTGATGGGCAGTCAGAAAGTAAAAGCTATGCAATTCCATTATCTATACCATAGTTTGTAGACGCTATAACTTTCACACAAAGCAATCAATATACACTTTTTGGGATTTTTTTAACCAAAAACATGTATCAGAATACATTTTGATCTAAATTTATGACGAAATTTTAGTTTTTTTGGATATCTTCTAACCACCTGAAGCCTTTTCTGACACTTTTTGTTCATATGAAAAAAATCTGTATTTTTTGCTAGGAAATTAATTTAAACCCCAAACAACTAAATAGTGGGTGCTGCAATTTTTTATGTCATATAGTTCTCGCGCAGTGATTTTGCAAATTAAATTTCTTTTACAAAATACACTTTTTTTTACTTTTAATGCACAAAAACACTAAATATTGGCCAATTATTTGGTAAAATATAAAAGATGATGGTGTGACGAGTAAATAGACACCAAACATAACATGCTTTAAAACTGCGCATGCCCCGTGCAATGGCGACAAACTGCATACGTTTTTAATATCCATAGGCAATGTTTTAAAAGCCTTTACAAGCAACCATTTTAGATTTACAGAGGAGAGGAGTTAGAACTACTGCCCTTGATCTGACATTCGTGGCAATACCTCACATGCATGGTGCAACTGCTGTTTCCATACTGGCACAGGGTCAATGCTCACGAATGCAGATTTTTTTTTTTTTTTTTTAAGTTATTTTGATTTTTTAAAATTATTTTTACACTGTCCCCTTCATTTTTTTTTTATCACTTTTAATGCTATCACAGGGAATGCAAATATCCCCTATAACTTCAATGGGCATTGTCATATATTCTTTTTTGAGAAATCTGGGTTCTATCAGACTGTGTGATCAGGTGTGATCAGATGCTTTCCCAGTTTACAAATGGCGCTGTTTTATATATCCTGTGAAACTAAAGTGATGAAATCCTTGTAGCATCCGATTTCTTAGGCTATAGAGATGATTGGCACCATTCTAGTCTCCAATCCGCTCTATGGTCAGCTAGCAAAAACACCGGCTGCATTCTCAGGTTGCCCCGATGGCACGGGACTGCCCAAGAAGGCCGTGGAAGGCAGTGGGGGAGGTGGGCATCATCTTCCACTGCTTCTAAAAGCAATCCTGCAGCTAATTAGCTACTAGGATTGCTTTTACATGAAACACAATAGCCGGCTGAAAAAAACAAATACCAGGATGATGCCTGCAGCTGTAGGCATCATCCTGGTATAACCATTCAAAGTCCAGTGATGTACCAGTACGTCGCTGGCCCTTGTTGGGTATACAATAATACTTCGGATTACGAATTTAATTTGTTCTGCAGGACATTTCGTATAGCGAAGAATTTGTAAACCGAAACACTGTTTCCCATAGGAATGCATTGAAAACCAATTAATCCGTTCAGAAGGTCAGAAAAACAGTAAACGCTACAAAAATACCGCATGAGTTATTTTATTAACTCATTCAGTATTTTAGTAGTGACAACCATGTGTTAATGTTTCAGCTGTCAGCGGGGTTCCCCACTGATAGATGAATGTAAAAGAATTGCTGGTAATTAAAAACAAAATTTTAATTGCAGGCAATTCACTCAGCTGTCAGGTGCCAGTTTTTAAATGTAATTACAGTTTTTTTTCCCTTCACTATACAGTAGTTCAGAAATTCAAGTCACTTTCCCCCTCCAGCTGAAAGAGGAGTTAAAAGATACAATGTTTACTTTCAGTTTCTTAAAATATACAAAGTATCCTTTAGCTCTGGGAAACTGACAGCTAATGTTTTGAGCTATACTGAAGAAGAAAAAAGATGGCAATTGCATTTAAAAAACAGCACTGACATACACTTACAGTGGGGCAAAAAAGTATTTAGTCAGCCACCAATTGTGCAAGTTCTCCCACTTAAAAAGATGAGAGGCCTGTAATTGGCATCATAGGTAGACCTCAACTATGAGAGACAAAATGAGAAAAAAAATCCAGACAATCACATTGGCTGATTTGAAAAGAATTTATTTGCAAATTATGGTGGAAAATAAGTATTTGGTCAATATCAAAAGTTCATCTCAATACTTTGTTATATATCCTTTGTTGGCAATGACAGAGGTCAAACGTTTCCTGTAAGTCTTCACAAGGTTGGCACACACTTTTGCTGGTATGTTGGCCCATTCCTCCATGCAGATCTCTTCTGGAGCAATGATGTTTTGGGGCTGTCGCTGGGCAACACGGACTTTCAACTCCCTCCAAAGGTTTTCTATGGGGTTGAGATCTGGAGACTGGCTAGGCCACTCCAGGACCTTGAAATGCTTCTTACGAAGCCACTCCTTCGTTGCCCGGGCGGTATGTTTGGGATCATTGTCATGTTGGAAGACCCAGCCACGTTTCATCTTCAATACCCTTGCTGATGGGAGGTTTGCACTCAAAATCTCACGATACAGGGCCCCATTCATTCTGTCTTGTACATGGATCAGTCGTCCTGGTCCCTTTGCGGAGAAACAGCACCAAAAGCATGATGTTTGCACCCCCATGCTTCACAGTAGGTATGGTGTTCTTTGGATGCAACTCAGCATTCTCTCTCCTCCAAACATGACGAGTTGTGTTTCTACCAAACAGTTCTATTTTGGTTTCATCTGACCATATGACATTCTCCCAATCCTCTTCTGGATCATCCAAATTGCTCTCTAGCAAACATCAGACGGGCCTGTACATGTACTGGCTTAAGCAGGGGGACGCGTCTGGCACTGCAGGATCTGAGTCCCTGGCGGCGTAGTGTGTTCCTGATGGTAGCCTTTGTTACGTTGGTCCCAGCTCTCTGCAGGTCATTCACTAGGTCCCCCCGTGTGGTCCTGGGATTTTTGCTCACCGTTCTTGTGATCATTTTGACCCCACGGGGTGAGATTTTGCGTGGAGCCCCAGATCGAGGGAGATTATCAGTGGTCTTGTATGTCTTCCATTTTCTAATTATTGCTCCACAGTTGATTTGTTCACACCAAGCTGCTTGTCTATTGCAGATTCAGTCTTCCCAGCCTGGTGCAGGTCTACAATTTTGTTTCTGGTGTCCTTCGACAGCTCTTTAGTCTTCACCATAGTGGAGTGTGGAGTGTGACTGTTTGAGGTTGTGGACAGGTGTCTTTTATACTGATAACAAGTTCAAACAGGTGCCATTGATACAGGTAATGAGTGCAGGACAGAGGAGCCTCTTAAACAAGAAGGTAACTGTCTGTGAGAGCCAGAAATCTTGCTTGTTTGTAGGTGACCAAATACTTATTTTCCACCATAATTTGCAAATAAATTCTTTCCAAATCAGCCAATGTGATTGTCTGGATTTTTTTTCTCATTTTGTCTGTCATAGTTGAGGTCTACCTATGATGCCAATTACAGGCCTCTCTCATCTTTTTAAGTGGGAGAACTTGCACAATTGGTGGCTGACTAAATACTTTTTTACCCCACTGTATATTGTGAAAAAAAATAGTAAAAAATTTGTAAACCGAGGCATTATTTTCAATGGATTTTCACTCGTAAACCGAAAATTATGTTAACAGAGGCATTCGTAAACTGAGGCATTACTGTATATTCTATATTCTTTTTTTTTTTTGCAGCCTGTGGACTGAAAGAAAAAAAGAGAAGAAATCTCTGCCAGAAAAAGTGTGTGGTATGCCCACCATTGGAATATACCGCACTGCATCCACCCTTTTCTAATTGTGGGCACACATTAGGTCACACTTTGCGCCAGTTCCAAGATTGTACAAATTTATAAATATTGGCACGCTTGAATAATACAGTCAGGTCCATAAATATGGGGACATCGACACAATTCTAACATTTTTGGCTCTATACACCACCACAATGGATTTGAAATGAAACGAACAAGATGTGCTTTAACTGTACACTGTCAGCTTTAATTTGAGGGTATTTACATCCAAAT